CTGATAATCTTCATTGTCTCACTGCTCCCATATTCACCACTTTTTCCATCAGTTTCCAGAACAGTGAACATGCTATTTTGCTTCAAATCAGTTACAGTAAATGGTGAAAGGAATTGTTGGACACGACTGCCGGCTCAGAACAGGAAAACCAGAGTGAGATTATTACAATCAATGAAAGAGCTCTAAGTAGCATTAAAACTAACTTCCAGTGGGATTGGCTTTTCTCAGACTTAACTTTAAAATATCACAAAACTCTTCAACGAGGGCATGACTAATTTTATCAGGATAGACAGGATTAGATCACAGAGTGGGGACAGCAGAAAGGCCCCCTTTCCACCTGTTCTACCAAGTCAAGAAGGAGGACAGGAAGGGCACTGGGGCTGGTCCCCGGCAGACACCGCATAGGAGGCCAGCAAGTCCCTCCACCTCAGGTCTGGAGAGAGGACGCCCACCCCTGACCAGAGCACATGGGAGGAGTTATGCAAATCACTTCAGCCTATTTTACAGAATCTGAAAAGGCTAAAAGTGACAGAAAAGCCAAAGAAGACTAAGCTATTTTATTGCATTTTCATTTAATTTTACATACAAGACAGTGGCTTTTAGTTTCCTAAAACCTCTGTTTATCGGTCAGAAACAAATCTGAAAGGCACACCTCCTTTTACGTTGGGGACCTCCAATCCAACAATTCTGATGTTAGATAAACCCGCAAAGAAAATCTGTAGCCTCCCTCCTTGAACCCGTAAAGACATCACTGCCCCAGTTCCCGACGGTGCTCTCTGTGCATGGGAGGGAGCGCAGTCAAGCAAAGGGCCTGGGGCCTCCACTGATTCATTGCATTCCTCGTGACCCAGATTCAGGCCTCTGTTTTCATTCTGTCTAACGGGAACAGCCAGGCTGACTTATAAAGGTCCTACAGAAATGAGAAAGGACGAGGTCATGATAATGTGACAACAGCCCCGCTGCTTTCCTAGCCGTCACCTCAACAGCCACTAAGATGGTTGGGGAGAGAAACGTAACAACACAACAGCAGGAGCCGCCGCCTCCGAAACAGTAATGAGCCTTTGGATTGAGGATTTCTCTGCCTAGGCGGGGCGGAGGGGGGGGCCGGGGAGGGGTTCCGAGTGAGCAGACGGAGTGAGGGTCTGAATCCCCTCTCCAGACTCTGACCGAGCGGGCCTGCAGTTCTTAACACCCCTGGGGCCGTTGCTGCCCAGGAGGCCACTCGTGAGCAGGAAAGACCAGGGGCTGCGCTAACCTGTGGCTCATCCTCCCTTCACCCCCAGAATCTCAGGTGGTTGGTACGATGAGCAGGGAGACAGACAACAGGGAGGGTGAAGGCCTTACAACTCCATGCAGAAGGAGGCTGAGGGGGGAAGTGCAGAGGCCTGGCCACACCCCAGTCCTAGCGGCTCCTGCCAGGGGCTGAGGGCGAGCCCTGCTCTCTCTGCCGCCGGCCCTCCCCTGGGCCTGGGTGGCTGCACCTCCCCCTCGATGGCCTCGCTCACCATCTTAACACTTCCCCTCTATTTCACTCCTTACCTTCTGCTCAGACCGCCCCCTCCTTCACATCTTCATCCTTTCTTTGTTCCCTTTTCTCTTTTTTCATGCATCCAACTCCTCACTCTACTCCCCAAACAGAAGAAGTTGTGCAAAGTACAATGGAACGCATTTCACAGATATCGACCTTCTCTGACATGGAATCCTCTGTAGATCCTAAGACCTCGCCTGGCCATCAGGAAGAGCTCGCTGGATGCTGAGTGTACTTGACAGAGGAACTTGGCATTGTCTAGTTCACCTTGTCCTGGGGGAAGGTAATTCTGAATTAACTTTCAACTGAGGTTGATCGTCTGCCGTTTTAAGTATTTTAAAATGTGAGACCTGGTTGATGAAATTCTGGCTCAAATGCATCTTCTAATAAAATCGCCGTGGTCCAGCCCTGCCTCTGATGCCTTTGTTGTCACCACCGCAGACGTGAGCTTTTCTCCTCTGCAGGAAAGCACCAAATTCCAAGCAGAAGTCGCTCAAATACTGAGGGCTATTTGCTTGTGCGTTACATGGCCCCAGACTGAAATACATCGAGTCGTCCTCTCTGTATATTGGGGTGTTCCCATCCCACCCTGTCCTCTTTCCTGCCGCGTTCCTCCCGGCGCCTGACTCCAGGAGTGACCTTCCCGCTTGAAACTTTTTGCTTCTATAAGCTCTGGGCTGGGAAACCAAACAGCCCTACTTATCAGAACCTCACCTAAAATAAGAGTCGGTACATCTGAATGTGCACCTGAGGGTCTCCCCTGGGAGAGGGGATGGACTTTGTGGTATCTATTTTGGCTGCAAGAGTTTCCTCTTGTGTTCATTTCCTCTTTCTCAAGTTGTCTTCGAGGCTTGATGTTATTAGATAAGAGACCTCCAGGTAGGCGAGGGCTCAGAAGGATGAGGATGTTTAGTAAGAGAAGACATACTGCAAGATTAGAGCAAATGCCTCCAGTATTGTCATATTAATGGAATAACAGTATTTTTTTTGTTTTTTGTTTTGTTTTGTTTTGTTTTTAACATCTTTATTGGGGTATAATTGTTTTACAATGGTGTGTTAGTTTCTGCTTTATAACAAAGTGAATCAGTTATACATATACATATGTTCCCATATGTCTTCCCTCTTGCGTCTCCCTCCCTCCCACCCTCCCTATCCCACCCCTCCAGGCTGTCACAAAGCACCGAGCCAATATCCCTGTGCCATGCGGCTGCTTCCCACTAGCTATCTACCTTACTACGTTTGTTAGTGTGTATATGTCCATGACTCTCTCTCGCCCTGTCACAGCTCACCCTTCCCCCTCCCCATAACCTCAAGTCCGTTCTCTAGTAGGTCTGCGTCTTTATTCCTTCCTTACCCCTAGGTTCTTCATGACTTTTTTTTTTTCTTAAATTCCATATATATGTGTTAGCATACGGTATTTGTCTTTCTCTTTCTGACTTACTTCACTCTGTATGACAGACTCTAGGTCTATCCACCTCATTACAAATAGCTCAATTTCGTTTCTTTTTATGGCTGAGTAATATTCCATTGTATATATGTGCCACATCTTCTTTATCCATTCATCCGATGATGGGCACTTAGGTTGTTTCCATCTCCGGGCTATTGTAAATAGAGCTGCAATGAACATTTTGGTACATGACTCTTTTTGAATTTTGGTTTTCTCAGGGTATATGCCCAGGAGTGGGATTGCTGAGTCGTATGGTAGTCCTATTTTTAGTTTTTTAAGGAACCTCCATACTGTTCTCCATAGTGGCTGAACCAATTGACATTCCCACCAGCAGTGCAAGAGTGGTCCCTTTTCTCCACACCTCTCCAGCATTTATTGTTTCTAGATTTTTTGATGATGGCCATTCTGACTGGTGTGAGATGACACCTCACTGCAGTCTTGATTTGCATTTCTCTAATGATTAATGATGTTGAGCATTCTTTCATGTGTTTTTTGGCAGTCTGTATATCTTCTTTGGAGAAATGTCTGTTTAGGTCTTCTGCCCATTTTTGGATTGGGTTGCTTGTTTTTTTTGTTATTGAGCTGCATGAGCTGCTTGTAAATTTTGGAGATTAATCCTTTGTCAATTGCTTCATTTGCAAATATTTTCTCCCATTCTGAGGGTTGTCTTTTGGTCTTGTTTATGGTTTCCTTTGCTGTGCAAAAGCTTTGAAGTTTCATTAGGTCCCATTTGTTTATTTTTGTTTTTATTTCCATTCCTCTAGGAGGTGAGCCAAAAAGGATCTTGCTGTGATTTATGTCATAGAGTGTTCTGCCTATGTTTTCCTCTAAGAGTTTGATAGTTTCTGGCCTTACATTTAGGTCTTTAATCCATTTTGAGCTTATTTTTGTGTATGGTGTTAGGGAGTGATCTAATCTCATACTTTTACATGTACCTGTCCAGTTTTCCCAGCACCACTTATTGAAGAGGCTGTCCTTTCTCCACTGTACATTCCTGCCACCTTTATCAAAGATAAGGTGTCAGAATAACAGTATTTTTTAAATAGCATAAATACATGAACCCACAACACAGTGAAACTCATTGCCACTCATTTGTCACTTTCACTTGAAAGATGATTTTATCATGAGAACTTCTTCCCATGAATGCAGCCTCATCCGTTCTCCTGAACCAGACCCATGAGTAGGTCCACATGTGGATGTACGTCCACACGCGGATCTGTACCTTCTGCTGAGCTGGCTCCAGGCTGCCCCAGCCCTTCCTCCCATCCCATCCCCCATTTGTCAGCGCCCTGGGGCTCTCTTCTTCTGTGATGTGGGACTCGCCCCTGCCCTGTGCTCCTGACCTAGAGCACCGCCCTGCTCTCCAGGTCCATTCCTATCCCCCTTCACACAGTCGCTCACCTCCCCCCACCACCACCCCCGCCCCGCCATGCTTCATCCACACTTAGATCCACCAGCACCCCTCATTCTGTCCACGGGGGCACAGGGGTGCAGCCCAGCATGTTCACAAATGGTAAGTTAAGGAGACTGTCTGGTTTTGGCTTGTAGAGTGTGCGTTTCTTCTTCACAGTCATGGCTCACGTAAGTGATGGCGCCTTCAAAGGTGGTTGTGGTTTGTTCCTGCAGTCCTTTCACAAGTGCTAGTCACCATCAGCAGGGCAGAAGCGACCTGAAGGGGCTCGATTCCCCCCACATTACCCACGGATGGTGTAACTTCATCTCCCTAACCCTTTAACCACACCTGTTCTCAGGACTGCGGTTGGAATTACGTAACATAACATAACATAAGATTACTTAGAATAACACAGGTGATGTCTCTAGAACAGCGGCCAGCACATCACGGACTCAGCAAAAGTTAGTGTCTCCCCTTCTCTCCCCACGGTGCGGCTAAGTGGTCTAAGTGACAATCAATGCCTGGCTTGATAACATAAATGTTCGCAATTTTCTTTTATCTTCAAAGCATTAAACAGTCAAGACAACAGGGATACAATGTTTCCTAAATCCCAGGATGAAATAAAAACTCACCAGTAAAGAAGTAGCTTCTTGTTCCGCAAATGAACAGCCACAGGAGTTTTCTTTCTTGAGTGTCAGGTTTCTTTAATCTCTAGACTTCTCTCCGCCAGCGCAAGGCCACTGGCCTTCATACGGAGTAAAGCGGCTTGATGCTGCGGGCTCAGCGCCTGCGCCTCACGTGTGCCTGCGCTCGTGCTCTTACTTTGCCCACACTGGGTGGTGTGGTGAACGTCTCACCACAAGCTTCATTCTTCCAGCTACACCTCAGATCGTAGGAAGGTAAAAAATAAGATGGAGGAAGGAAGGCAAGCTGATGCAACTAGGTCACTTAATAATTTCAATTGTAGAGACAAGTTTTTTTCGCGTTTCAGAATTATTAGTCTGTGAAATACTTTTTAGTCTTCCTGGAAATTACAAATTAATCAGAATGATTATAAAGTTCTCTGAAAAGCTCCACATAATACCTAATGAACTTTATAGTCATCTACCCACATTCTGGCTTAAAAGCCTAAAAAACCACATGACTTATCCTTTAAAAGTAAAGATATGATAAATTGAGAATCTGCATGTCACAAATAATGTAGGTCAACGATCAGCTCCAAAAGAAGGCATAACCCAGTTGCAAAGGAGAAATATTGCCCTCAAAAGATTCACATTGCCTTCTCCACCACTTTCTACAATGTGTGGCCATTATGTTATAACGTGACCTGTGCAGGGATAGCAGAAACCTGAGTGTCTATATCCCCAGAGCAACTATTCAGTTTGGGAATAGTCCTGTAATTTGAGGGGGAATCTGGGTTACGTTCTCTGAAATCTAAAATAGAATTAGTCAAGCCACAAATCCCCCTATGGAAAGTTCTAAATTGGCCCTTGGTAGAAAACACCGGTGACCCTGCTGGGCAAGAAGTGAGAATGTTCATCCCTGGTTTGTCTAACTGTCTCCTTCCTTTTTTATATGATTATAAATAGTATTGTTAATGTTAACACATCTAATAAAATTAGAAAGAACTTTCATATTTATCATTTCGCTTAATCCTGACAAACTATTTTGGGAAAACATTGTACAGATGGAAAGTTACTAGCACATAAAGATGTTAAGTAATTTTCTCAAGAGTCTATAAACCAGGAGTAGTGGATTCCAAAAAATAAGGCCTGGGTCTTCCAAGTCCTCTTTACACCAAGCCACAATTCATTCATGTTTTCAGCAAATGCTTATTGAGCTTCTACTATGTGACGGGAACTTTTCTAGGCCAAAGTGTTGCAGCAGTGAGTGAAACAGACAAATTCCTTGACTTCATGGGATTTACATTCCAGTCATGGGAGCTGGGCCATAAACAAAATAAAGAAAAAGATCTACAATATGGTAGAAAGTAATGAGTGCCATGGAGAAAAATCAAACAGGGAGGACAGATAGGGATTACTGAGGCAATTTTAAGTCGAGTGGACAGGGAAGGTGTCACTGAGAGGTGACACTTAAGTGGAGCCCTGAGACAGGTGTGGGAGTGTGTCATGGGTTTATATGGGGGAGGCGCATTTCAGGACAAAGGGACAGCAAGGCACTGTCCCTGATGCAGACATCTGCCTGACATGTTCAGGGGAAACCAAAGAGGGCAGTGTGACTAGAGTGAGCCCAGGAAGCGTGGGGAGAGTTGAGGTCAAAGAGGTGAGAGGGGGGTTTCCCTGGCAGTGCAGTGGTTGATAGTCCACCTGCTGATGCAGGGGACACGGGTTCGTGCCCCGGTCCAGGAAGATCCCACATGCCGCAGAGCGGCTGGACCCGTGAGCCATGGCCGCTGAGCCTGCGCGTCCGGAGCCTGTGCTCCGCAACGGGAGAGGCCGCAACAGTGAGAGGCCCACATATCGCAAAAATAAATAAATAAATAAATAAATAAATAAATAAAAGAGGTAAGAGGGGCCAGGTAGGGGGTCTTCCAGTCCATTGTAATGGCTTTACCTTCTCCTTAGGGTGAGATGGGAAGCTGTTGGAAGGTTTTGTGTGACATTACATTTTAAGGACTGTCTGACTTACATTTTAAGATTACTCTGGTGGCAATGTGAAACGTAGATTACAGGGAACCCAGATGGAATTAGGAAGAACATCCCAGTAAGATATGATGGGTCTGTTTTGGAGATAAAGTCAACAAGATTTGCCAACAGACTGGATATTGGATTTGAGAGAAAGAGAAGCACAAAACATGACTCTAAGGTGTTTGACCTGAACATTAGCAGGATAAGTTGATTAAATAAAATGGGAATATTGCAGAAGCAGTAGGTTGAGCATGGAAGAGGATATCAGGAATTTAGCTAGGAACTTGAGAAGTTAGAGATACCTATTAGAATATCCCAGTGGAGATACCAATACAATAAATAATTGCTTATCTGAAAGTGAAGCTCAGAGGACAGTGCTGGGCTGGAGATGTAAATTTAAGGGTCATGAGCTTATGGGTGGATGAGATCACCAAGGGAGTGGGCACAGATGGATAAGAGAAGAGGTTCAGTGCCTGAGATCTGGAGGCCAAGCACAAAAGTATTTCAAGAAGGGGAGAATAATCAAGTATGTCAATGCTGCTAGCAGACCAAGCAACACAAAACTGAAAAAAAAAAATGACCATTAGAGTTAGCAGCATGCAACCATTGCAACCCTGACAGTCTTTGCTGAGTGGCATGGGGAAACCTAGCTGGAAGGGGGCTGGAAATAGGAGAGGATACAAACACTTATTTCAGAGAGTTTACACAAGAGGAAAGAGAGAAATGGTCAGGAGCTAGAGATGACACTGGAGTCCAAAAATCTGTTGTTAAGATGGTAGAAATAAGAGATGTTTACACACTGGTGGGAATGACCCAGTAAGGAGGAAAATGTTGACTATGCAAGAAAGAAAAGGGAGAAGCACTCGGTCCCATCCTCAAGTGGACCGAGGAGGCTGGGAGACTGTGCACCAGCAAGAGATTTCCTCAGTTGTAGGCAAGGCGGCAGCGTCCACAGGCACAGTACACAGGTGGATGTGGTGGTGAGTGTTTATGCATGTTCTTTTCTGATTGTTCCTTTGTTCACAGTGAAAAAGGAAACCAGGTCATTGGCTGAGAGTGAAGATGGAAAAAGAGGCATCAGAGCTTTGACAAGAGAGGAAAAGAAATGCAACAGCCGTCTAGGGGAGAGGGAGAATGAAAGGGGTACAGAATTACATAACTTCCAGGCAACATCAGTGAGCAACCATGAATTTAAAGCGAGACCAGTCACGACGATTGTTTGTTATCCTTTTCTAGACACATTCATTATGTAGACACAAGAGCCAGGGAGTAGGAGAGCTGAACCCAACAAGAGCTGTGGTTTAGCCAGCTGAGTAAGACAGACAGAGGGCCAGTGGGTTGTGCAATAAAAGTATAACATGGCCTTCTAACCATCCAAGGATCACTCCACCCCACGATAGTCTAGTGATGGCCCACAGACAGATTCATCGAAAAGAAGCATAATGATCACCATCTAGATTCAGAAATGGGGTCTGCCCAGCTCACGGTTGACATGGGTCTCTGCATTGACAATGTCTCTGACATTGGTGTCAAGGAATACATTCTGATGGGATATAATTGACCTCTTTGATGTCAAGTACAAACGTAACAATAGTGTTAGTAATGTTAGTAATCTTGGTGTTATCTGTCCTTATTGATTAGGAAAATTTGCTAATGGTGCTTTGGACAAACAAATGTAGGTCCAGACACCAGTCTGGGAGACATTCCTCATGCATAATAAAATAACGTGAGCAGAAATTTCTAGTATTTGGTTTTAGGTTTTCCTGGTCTTTTCCGTGATGTAACCAGCACTCCAATACCCCCAAATGTTAAGTAAAATTCTGTTGCGTACACTAGACATATGCTAGAGGTGCTTTCCAAGAATGAAGAAAAGAGATGGTCTTCAGAATCAGGCACCCACAGTGGAAAGAGAAGCATGCCTAGGGGTTGACAGGGGGTGTTAGCAGAGAAAGTGGCTGCCCAGGTCGTCGGAAATCCCCGAGCATCCCCGAGAGAGGCCTTGCCGTGGTCCACATGACCCTACAAGCTTTCAACACACTACAGATAAGCGTGAAATTGGAAGGTGATCCTGGGCTCCTCTCCATCGGGCTGCTTACTTGACTCTTACCTTCTGGACTAATTTAGTCATCTGAGCACATGGCATGTCACCCCAGACAGCACAGTGCTTCACTATGTTGGTGCCAGCATGGCCGAGAAGACCCAGAAGCAGAAAGTCGTATTGCTTTGAAAAGACGCACATGGGTCATAGGGTGGCAGATAAGTCTTCTGACATCGAAAGAGCCTGTGTTCTCGAGGATACTCCTGGGGACCCAGGCATCTGGGTTGAAATTCGTTACCACAAGGAAGGCCCCAATCTATCTGCCCTCTTTGTGGTTTGACGTGACATATGAGACTATCTTATCCTAAACCATTTACTGGATGACCTGAAAAGATGCCAGCTCTCAATGGGTCCAAGAACAAGATAGGATTTCCCAGGGTGGTCCAGGCTGGAGTGTTTGCTGCCACTCCCATGCTGGCCTCGAGAGAGGGCTTTTGCTCCCCCTTCTTTATTACCCTCAGGCGTGGACTGAGCCCTGATCTGTATTCCCACGGCATGCTAAGGACTAGTTCTTAAACAAGATCTTACTGAAGATTGAGGATTCATAAAAGGAAGCTCCAATCCATGTGGGAACTTAGGTTGCTATTAGAAGTGACTTCATATTTCCAGAGCCGTCCTCAGGGGACCCTCAGACGCCCTCTTTGCTTGGCTCCTGGGTGGTCACCTCACTGCCATTGCACTGGGCAAGGCACTAGCCGCTCCCACTGGAAAGGCAGTCAGTCAGCCTCAGAGCCCAAGCCCCAGCAGCAGAGGCGCTGGGCAGGGAGATGTCCCTCTGTGCTCCCATGGCTCTGGCCCCTCATTCAAGATCTCTTTCTCAGGATGATTAACGGTGGGAATTTCTACTGCTTTCAGGAACCATGGGCAACACCGTCCCATCCAGGTCACCCCCGGGAACCTGCCCCACCCCTTCCAACAGAACTGCCACCTCATAGCATTAGGTCCAGCTCACCAGAGTTACACATCGCTCTCAAACATTACACCCCCTGGAAGACCTCACCCATCCAGCCCAGGCGGCTGCCCCAGGCCCCACCCAGTGTCCGGCACAAACTCCTCCAGCTCCAGGTGACGGTCACACCTGCATGACTGTCTTTCAGCCAGATCTCCTGAAAACTCTCCTCAAAGAATCGATAAACCACCCCCAAGAAAGCAAGCAAGGTGTCTTACCGGGATCGACTGCAAGCTCACGTGTTCCTCCAAGGAAGCAACCAGTTCTGCAGAGGCATCGTTGTGACACACACCTCATCTCCATAACTCTGGAGACTCATGGCATTCAGAAGTTCCTGCATTCACACATCCTCATTTCCTTCCAAAAGTAATGAGCTTGGTTCACTGATAAGCCCGCTGACCGGGAGACTGTCTGTTTCAATGGGTGTTCAAGTCTTCATCCCTTTGAAACCGAAATTCACTCAAATTTTGAAATTTTTCATCAGGGTAAATAATGAACGTTAAAACTGGGACAGGGGCTTCCCTGGTGGCGCAGTGGTTGAGAATCCGCCTGCTAATGCAGGGGACACGGGTTCGAGCCCTGGTCCGGGAGGATCCCACATGCCGTGGAGCAACTAGGCCCGTGAGCCACAACTACTGAGCCTGTGCGTCTGGAGCCTGTGCTCCGCGACAAGAGAGGCCGCGATAGTGAGAGGCCCACGCACCGCGATGAAGAGTGGCCCCTGCTCGCTGCAACCAGAGAAAGCCCTCGCACAGAAACGAAGACCCAACACAGCAAAAATTAATTAATTAATTAATAAAATCCCACCCCCAACATCTAAAAAAATAATTAATTAATTAATTAATTAAATAGTTGGGTGGGAAGATATCACTCTTCATTTTAAAAAAAAAAAAAACTGCGACAGCCTGCTAGGGTGGCAACCTGGTCATCAATGGGGCACTCGCTGTATGCACACGTTTTATACTTTGTCTCTAGTGCTCGCGAGAGCCTGTGAGGTCCTCAGCATCGTGCTCACTTACCGATGAGGACACAGCAGCTCAGAAAATACTAGACACCTTGTTCTGATTCCCACTCCCCCCCAAGAGGACTGAGAACTGTGCAGAGCATGAATATTCCTTCCAAGAAGTCATCTTTCATCATCATAAACATGTAAGTTAGCTCGACAATATTTGCCATCGCTGAAAAAAACTTAGTAAGAGCCAAAGACATTCAGCTTGAAAGAAAGAAGCAAACACTGGTAAGTTTAAGAATTAATTTTCATCACCAATAAGACATTCATTCGACCAGCGTATGCTGTAGCGACACGATTTTTTCCACATTCATTTATCCAGACGTTTTAGTTAACGCTTACGGTTTCTACATAATTGAAAGTGATTTTCAAGCAGATATCGTGCGTGCCCTTCATGTGCCCTCAGGCCTCGACCTTCTAATCCAGCGGCCAGGCTTCCAGCCTCAGGCATCCTCCCTCTGTGCCCGGAATCTCTGTGAAACGAGAGCCTGCTGACCCAAGCATGGCAGACAGGAAGCGCTGCAGAACCAGCACCCACAGGAGTGGCCCCACTCCGTGTGTGGTGGGCCAGAGTTTCCCAGGGGAATCAAGCCAGTTACTCACAATGGGTCCTTGCTGCAAGGGGCCTCGCAGGACGGCACTGCTCTCATTGGCTGCCCCC